CTGAGATGACGTGCCACGTCACTGCCGCATGTCGGAAATAGCGCGGGCCTTAAATCAGCAACGGTTGTCGTCTACCCAGTTAAGCGAATTCGAAACTAAACAGTACACAGAGAGCTGGTCAGAAATTGAGTCCGCCGAAACCAGTGGCCAGGATGGTCTAATCGGTTAAGGCGTCGCCCCGGTCAGGCGAAGGTTGCGGGTTCAATCCCCGCTCCTGGCCCAATTTTTCGCCAGCTCTCTTTCCCTTTCCCTTTCCCTAACTTTAATGCAATAAATTCAATAATCACCTTCTCCCCTCTTCGTTCTCAATATTCCTACGGCTGCACTTGTCAATCGTCACTCAATCCCATTATATATATATATATATATATATATATATAGAGAGAGAGAGAGAGAGATACTATATACCGGAAGTTTGTCAGAAATTGGGAAATCAATCCGGACCCGACTTTTCGCACCGCAAAAAATAAACTAGACATTCCGGGGAGCTCTAGCTCCGTGAAAAGTTGAAAACGTAGCCCCAACTGTTCGAGCATGATGCCAAGCTGTCAACACTTACCATTACCGGAATAAAAAGTTAGAGATAAAAAAACAGTTTTCGCCTATGAGAGGACGCCGTCCGTGAGAAGCAGCAGGCGGGATACCCCTGTTTGCGACCGCATCTCGCAAATGGCGCCTCAATCGGCAGAGAGTTTTTGGTTAGTTTCGGTTTCGGTCTGGCGGCTTGCGGCACAGCACCGCCACGTGCTCCGTTCGGTTTCGGTACAATTCCAGGTTGTTGGTGGACTGTTTTTTTTCTTTGTTTTAACTCAGGTTATGCTCGCTAAGTTGCTTATTTGTATAACACATCTGATAATTGTGGATAAAGATGTTCTGTTGCTTCACCAGCTGGCTCTGCATTTTTTTTTTTTTTTGTGATGTGAGTCTTTTATTGATTTACGGGTGTGCGACACCGGACTGTATAAGACGAAGGTAATAAAGCGAGCGATATCTGAGGTGAGAACAGGGCACATACAAAGGAATCTAATTTGCATAAGCATTCAGAGGCACGGGAGAGCAGGCGCGTCAAGAGTGGCCAGGCTCCGTGACGACAGCATTGTGCAGCCTAAAAAGGACGTTTGTCAAGGTATTAACATAAAGAAACCGTACACTCGACGGGAAGGTGTGAGTTTATTCCGTAGACTGTTGTCAGGACAGTTCTAGGCAGGGTACTCCAGTTTTAATTCGGTTGAAACCAGGGCTTCGACGTGGCCTCCTAGGCGCCAAGTGCAGAGGCCAAGCCACCGTCACGTACTCTCCGAATGCAGCAGCTCGCATTTCGTCCGCGATGAGAGCAAACGCTGCCTCGATGCGCTGCTTTAAGGCGTCGAGTGTGGGGATGCGGCCCTTGTACACCTGGAACGTTACAAACCGCCAAACGAAAAAGTCGTATATTGTGAGGACTGGCGATCGGGGCGGCCACGGTATGTTCTGCACTCCCCGGTCCATCCAGCGTCCTGGAAAGGTGTTGTCCAGCCAGTGGCTTACACTCGTCGACCAGAAAGGTGGCGTACCATCCTGCCTAAAATTGCACACGTTCCGCTGCATGTGCAGTGCTTCCAACTCGGGAAGGAACTCATCCTGCACCATCTTCAGGTACGTGCTTCCAGTTACGTTGTCGCTGAAGAAAAAGGGGCCAACGACGCCCTCTCTCCAGATTACGCACCAGACTGTTACCTTTGGCAACTGCAAAGCTTTCTCGAGCGTTCAGTGCGGATTTGTCGAACTCCAATAGCGGCAGTTCTGCGTTTTCACCTGCCCGTCCAGCTGAAATGTCACCTGATCACTAAGCAACAGAAACTGCAGATGCAATGGATCTTGCCCAATCCTGAGGAGCTCGTCTCGGCAAAAGTAGAGCCGCTTCTCGTCGTCTCCGGGCAACAACTCATGAATCAGGCCAAACTTGTATGGATTCATCTCGCCGATAGCTTTGCGCACGGTGCGCGTGGATATTCCGAGCAAACGCGCGGCTCTTCGCAGAGACAAGTGGGGATCTGCCTCAAAGACCCCGGCAATGGCGAAGCGCCAGTCTTCCCTTTCAGGAGGAACATGGAAGACGTGCGTTTTGTTCTTGACGCTAGATTCTTCTCTGCAAAGCGCCACGCCCACATCCAGATCACCTACTTCGAAGGTGGCCGCAATCCATACTCCAAAAAAAAAAAAAAAAAAGAACTTGCGCTTGATCTTTTTGAAGCTTGTCAGTTCGGTGTATTAAAGTACCAAAGTAAGACTTGACTTTGTTGCTTGCGTTAACTGCCGCATAAGGAATACCAGTCGGTAATAAAATAAAACTGAATATGAACAATTAATGCAGGTGCGCGTAGATGACTGTCGGCGTTACGACATCTGTTTCGGTATTTATCGGGACACCTTTTCATAAAAAAAAAAACAATAATAATAATAAAAGCCGAGAGATTACAATTTCAGATATTTTATTTATTTTTGTTTGCTTATATTAATAATCGACAAAGTTGGCGGCAAGGATACGATACTTTTGTCAGGTATCTTAACTTAGGCGCCAGTCGTTAGTATTAGAAAAACGGGGGAGCGCGGGAAGCTTCGAGGACAAGTGGCGCCATCTGTGAGATGCGGCGGCAAACAAATGCATTTCGTCTGCTGCTTCTCACGGACGGCGTCCTCTCATGGGCGAAATCAATTGTTTTACCTCAAACTTTTTATTCCGGCAATGGTAAGTGGTCACATTTTGGCGTCTTGCTCGAACGGCTGGAGCTAGTTTTGACGGAGTTGGAGCTCCCCGCAATGTCAAGTTTATTTTTTGAGGTGCGAAAAGCCGGGGTTCGGATTTGTCACTAACACCCGGTATATAAAGGGTGCCCCAAGTCACCAGGCTGTGAATCCTAAAATGGACCGTAATAATTTACGCCAGCACGTAGCAACCTGAACTTTCCGTCAAAGCTGTATTTCACAGGTCAATTTTTTCTTGTAAGATTACGAAGCGTTGCTCCCTTTCTGCAAAACATAGGGACAAAAAAGGGTCAACGCCGGACGGCGACGCATACGAACGAGTGGAGTTGCTAGGTGCATTTGGCGCGCTTTTTGATAGGATGCGTCGGGGGCAGCGTCCGAAGGTGTAGCCGACCAGCGAAAGAAAGCAAACGACACGCAGACGAAACCCATTGGCAGCAAAAGCGCCATTGTTATGCAAACGCGTTTTTTTTTAAGGTTTGCATTTATTGTTTGCATTTACTTTTCAACCAAAGGTGCATTAAAAAAAGATTTTGATTCATTTTATAATGAACGTTTTGATAGATGGCGCTACCTCCTTATCGAGAGTGCTCGCGGCCACCTTAATGGTCGTCGCGAGCACTCTCGACAAGGAGGTAGCGCCATTTATGAAAACGAGCGCCAAACCCGCTCCGCTACAAGACTTAGTCGTCTGCGTCGCCGCCTGCCGTTGACCTTGGCAAGTTTCTTGGCCTTATTTTTTACAGAAACAGAGCTACGCTTTGTAATTTTACAAGAAAATGCTGACCTGTGACATACAGCTTTGTCGAAAAGTTTAGATAGCTACTTGCAGGCGTCGAATTTTAAGGTCCATTTTAGATCGAGCCTGGTGAGTTGGGACACCCTACATATACAGGGTGTTTCTTATTAAGTGTAACATATCTCTTTAAAAAAACGCCGTGAAATGAAGCTCATGTAATTTATGCAGTTGAGTTATTTGGCCAGGGGGACATTCTCTAGGGGCTAATCGTAACGGTCAGTCGGCTTATTAATTAAATTAGTTCATTAACCTTTACTTAGTGAGAATATATAAATTGTTCCAATTAGAAACTTGCTGAGCGTCATCGAAAACTACTAAATCAAATCTTTTTAGAAGGATATATAAAGCAGGGGCACCATTTTACGGTGTTCTAAAAAAGCGCTCAATTTGGACGCGTTTTTAGGTTTTGGTTTTCCATCGGAGCGCATCGCTGCGCCCGCGGTCCTGCTCCCCTGTGGCTGAGACGCGCATCACACGGGCGCCACACTTCTCTCCATCCTGCGAGGGAGGCGAGGGGGTGGCTTCGCGCTGCAACCACCGGTGGACATTACCGCGGGCGTAAATATGAGCTCATATAAGAAACCGAAACCTAGAAACGCGACCAAATTGAGCGCTTTTTTAGAATGCCGCAAAATGCTACACCTGCTTTGTATCGTTTTAAAAAAAAAAAGTTGATTTAGTGGTTTTCGATAACACTCAGCAAGTTTCTAATTGGAGACATATGTCTATTTTCACTCAAAGATGTAATTAAGACATTTTAATTAATTAGAGGCCTGATCGTTATGATTAGCCCCCTATACAATGTCTCCCTGGCTGTATAACTAACCTGCAGAAACCGCATAAACCGCATTTCACGGCTTTTATTCAACAGGTTTGTTACACTCTAAAAGAAAAATCCTATATAGATATGTGTATATCGCTTTGTTATAGAAACGGTACCACACACACTCGGATCTGCTGTGTATGCTTTCGGGTGCTCATCTCGAATAAGCTTTCAAGTTTTTGCTCCATGCGGTGTCATCTGTGAGTAGCAGCGACAACATCGCGGTTTGTTTATGTTTTTTTCTCGCTGGGCGTAAGATTAACAGGACTTTCGTTTTTCTTTAATTCGTTTTAAAAACTTATACTTAAAAATTTTAGTATATTAAATGCGTCGCCTAGACATATCTTTGTTAAAAGTTTCCTTTTACTCCGTTCATTGGCTTATCTATACGTACTTGTTTTACGCCCAAATGACGTTCAGAAACACTCTGTACAGCACAGACAGCTTTCTTATCCGTGTTTGCTTGCTGTATTGACGAGCTCAAATACACCATTTTTTGCCCCATAAATGCCGGAAAGAGTAAACAATGCTCACACCTGACGGAGCGTGCGGTGCTCGAGGCCGATGCCGTGTACGGGTACACAGCCCTCGCCGTGAGTTATGTGTCCGCGGCGGCGTCGCCACCTTTGTTTTATGTAGGGCGTCGGAACGTCGGAAATGCTTCGAGCCCTTCGTCGTTGAAACTTCCGCCGATTCTCCGCCCTGTCGACCTCGATTAACTTCGTACTCCTCCTCGCTTTCTTCTTTCGCCGCTATCTCGACACACGAGATAAGATAAACTGGGCGAAGCCGTCTGAAGCAGGTGTTTCACTTGCAGTTCGTTGCGATGGGTGTCGCCTGCCCTCGGCAAAATATCGCGTCAGAGTGCTTAGTCTTCTAACTTAGACGATGCGAGGTGTTCTTGGGGAGTGAAAAAAGTCTCATACGTGTCCGTGCTTTGGTCTGTCTTCGTCGCCACGGTCTCAACCGGAACTACCATCGGGTCCAAAGAACAACCGACGTTCAATCCCAGCTGTAACGCCATTTAAACGTTAATGTGCCGTCTGCCACTTCACGCAACGGTCATGGTCCTCTATGACGCTCTTCAAACGTTGAGGTGTATTCTACTTTAATCGACGGTTAATTTTACCCACAACTCTGTTTAAGACGTTTAGTACTGTCTTATGTTGTGAAGCAGCGGCTAGAGGTACGGCATTCTTTAAACGTCGAACTTTCTTCGACTAGTGATATCGACGATCGTTTAGTTGCGGTGTGAGTCCAACCATGTTGTGGACGGTGTTTGCCACGCTGGTGGCTGTGGTGGTGGTGTTGTTGCCACGAGGTGACTCGGCAATATCGGGGTCGTTCGACAACCCCGGGTTTAAGGAGGACCGAACCACGATAGTTGAGATGTTTGAGTGGACATGGGCCGATGTGGCGCGAGAGTGCGTGGACTTCCTCGGACCTCACGGATACGGCGCAGTTCAGGTGAGACGCTTTTCCTCGCTCTTTTAGCTTGAAGGACTGAACACATTTCGAACTGATTGCAAATGTCGATTTTGCGTGGTGTGACGTTGTGAGTTGATTACGGGTGCAGGCAGGTGGTGATTTTTCTATTACCTCGTAGCAATGCCAAGGCAAAACTTTGTGTAGACTAGAAGTTATAAATATATAACCAGAAGCAATTTCTAACAGACACCGATAAATAATGTTGTGGGTCCATTTGGCTATCGTTTTTACGAAACATTGCTTAAAAAACAATAGTAAATAAGAATATTGTTTTCTACAAGAAAATTGAAAGTCCAATGTCCCCCAGTACTTTTTGTCTGAAATTTGACGAGATGTGTATTTTCCGAGATGTTTGATTACCATGGGGCAATCTTGATTTTCAGGATTTGGGTTGCTACGAATTATATCATGTAAGGTTGTATTATTCAGGAACAATTACAACTTCGTCATTTTCGATATCATGTTAGAAATAATTTTAATACGACATATTTAACCTGCACTTTACACCTCACCTTTAAGCTTTTCCTGAAAATAAATTATTTGAGCCAATTTAACGTGGTAAACAAAGATGAACATCACACTGTACAGTTAGAAAACGTCCGTTTCCGTTGAGTAGGGAAAAAGGGGGCTTTCTAATAAACTGCAATTTGTGCTGTGGAAAAGGAAACCCGACTTTTTAAACATTGCATTAACTTTCGGTAACTTTTCAAATGCAATCTAAGTAGCGATCTCGAGCGATTGGGGGGAGGGGGGGGGGGGTTGTGGGGATATTTAGACAGCGTGTAGTTGGTCAGCCATTAAAGTTGCGAAGAGTCACACGCTGTAGATGAGCAATTTTGCCAGTGTAGTACGACTGCTAACCTGGGGTCTTTAACGTGTACCACGCAGTAGTGATACACGACCGCAAGCCGGTACGATGCTCATCCAGATCGAAACGGCAGGGGTGGGGCTCGAACTCAGGATCCCTGGGTTCTGCAGCGCGAGCTTTCGCTCCACGCGCGTCGAGCTGGGTGTGCGCTTCAGCCCACTCGGCCACCGATCTCCCTGATCTCGAGCAACAAGCAGCAACAGAATTGAGACCTCATGCGTATATTCTTGCTGATAAATATAGGTGTAAGTTTAAAATTTACCTTCAACTATATATATATATATATATAGACCTTCATACCCAGATAAATTAAACAGCTTCAAATTTAATTATATTGTTTATGTTCTAAAATATAAAGAACAACCGAAAATTACTAGAGAATGTTTAATAAAGTTCGCGCTTTATTTTATTTAAAAAAAACATTGCTTTGTTTTGAGAAAACATTGCACTCATCTTCCCGGCTCACCACATTTCAAAGTTTGATATTCAGGACTACGCGTTGCATTAAGAGTCGCACTGTTCATGTCCACATTGCTGTTCAATCAAAGTGGTGTAAAACAGAGAGTTTATCTATTACGCGAATATGCGGAACCTTTCTTGCGCTCGATATACATGGTAAGTTCAACACTCCAAATTATACTTTTTGATAAGTTCGTTAGTATGGCAAGCTGACTGAGACTGCCAAATAGGATCCAATTGATTTTAGATTCTAAGATATTTACTATAACCTGAAAATGTACCTTCAAGAGCAACACTATGGGACTTGTTTCTCCTAGTCACAGGGACGGAAGTATACACTTCATGCTGGCCATATCTTGATTGTTTTATATTTAAACCAATACTTTCAAATCAAACTCGCATTCAGACATATAAAGTATGCAGTGGACGCCTAAAAATCACGCCTTACAAATACTGATAAATAATTGGACGTGAAAGTTTGTAATTGTCTAACATGTTTCTTCCTTAATAATCAAATGATAATAAACTAACAATTTACCAATAATGCAGCAATAATTTGTGCAGATTTTATACAGCTTGCATATATAATTTAAAACAATAATTTTAAAAGTACCTAATATTAAAATCGCATTAACCTTTTAAGAGCTTCGCCCGTTCACCTTATATGTTTTAGGAAAGCGTAACCTTTTGTCCGTAAAAAGGGACACTTCTGACGAGCTTGTACTTTCAAATTTTATTATTATTATGACAGTACAATTGATCAATTAACTTACCAATTAATCAATTAATGCTTTAATCGCGGATAATTGTTGTTTTACCATTTAGTCGGTTATTTTTTACAAACTACAAAAAAGTACAATTTAACACTTTCACTACGCAGACGACCAGTACACCTGTATGAAAGCAAACTTTGTTGAAATGTTGACTTAAAGTGAACTTTAGGGGCGAAAATTTGTAGCTACAAACAAGTTGAGAAGGTTATACGTGTCCCAGCCATTTCATTGCCGTGCGAGTTTCAATTTAGCGCAGTATGGTCTATTGAGAACAACCAAAGGAGTTCGCATTAGAGAATATCAACGAACCTTTTTGCCTTTACAGCTGAAGTAATATTTCTTTAGTGTGAGTGACTTTTGAAGGCTCTCAACAACACATTATGCTTGGTTGAATAACCGAAAATGTACACTGTGCCGTTTGTCAGATATCCCACAAAGGCAAAAATGTAATTCGACTTTTTAAAACTATTATGCCTGTGAATGAACGAAACTGATTAATCAATTAGTTAATCTATTAAAGGGTGGCGGTTAATCGGGTTAACATTTTTAATCGACGCCCAGCTCTAATTAATATCTTCTTTTATGCCCCTTTTATTAAACGTTCATTCCGATCTGTTCACGAACATTGTCATGACATTAGCAGAGGAAGAAATCCTAACAATTGCCGTTTTCTTTAAATGAACAAACATAACTTTGAAATATTTAAGGTATCAACATGTACATGAACTTCACATCAATATCAGACATCCAGGGTTGTATCTGAAGTTTTGCTTTCCTTGAGGTGCATCTTTATAAAACTCTGAACCCCCTCCCAACTTGAGTCTTGTCGGAGATAATTCCAATCTGCAAGCTCAAGATCAGCATCTCAGACGAATGGACTGAATTTTCACAGATTTATTTCAACTTGAGACATACCTCAGACATTGAATGCATCCGATTTACCATCCGCAATATTATTTTGCCTCAAAAACCTTGCAAAAAATGAAAACAACGGCAGCAGAAACTTTATTTGACAAACGTTTGTCCAGTGAAACGTCCGCTACTGCTTGAATTGGTTCCTAGGTTTATAACTTTCGTGATGCAGAATATGAGTACATCTTGTTTTACGTGAAACATGCTCTAATAAATATACACGAACAATATCACTTGCGATTGAGATTCCATAGAAACAAGAGTGTTTCCTTTTAGTTGCGAGTATTATAACCTGCAATTTTATAAGGTAATATATTTGCTTTTTATAAATATTGTCAGTAAATATCTTTAAAGTTTGCAGATAACAACTTGTAGAAACTTGAGCGGCATAATACTCCTCTGCTGGAGGTCAGAACAGGCAACGACTGCAGTGCGTCAGGCCTTTCTGCGTGGTCAGGACAAACTTACTTCTTTAGTTAATTTTGTACGCTTTTACAAAGGGCGTGCTCTGTGCGTGTCTGCGTGCAAGTGTGTCGGCTTTACAAGTGCTTTGATGTCAATTTACCACTTGATACATCAAAGGGTGCATTTATCATGGGACATGACACTGAGGCGCCCAGCAGTGCTACGCCCAATAGACTTGGAAATTAACGTATAGACGCTTTTCAGCAGCTGTTCATGGGCGCCACCATAAGTGACCTTCAGTTTTTGTTTCCTTTTATTTTGATCATTTCCCTCCATCATTGCCCCAGCAGGACAGGTTATTGCCATTTTAGATCCGACTGTGTCCTTCTCCCCAGCAATGGCCTTTGTGGAGGCTCCTCAAAGCGTGCTTCAGTGGCTTGGTATCTCGGTAAGGCAAGAGAAGGTCAGTAATGGCGGCTGCTATATAGCGCGTGTGCAAAGCGTCTATAGAGATGGACTACGCTCGGTCTCACATATAAGGTTTCTGCTACATTGTCAAGGCTAGCGTAGTTCTCGCAGTACTTCAGCTCTGTCAAGGGTAGCTACGCGAGCGCATGCAAATAAGACATAAGACAAAAGCACGTGCTGTCACAGGAGTGCGAGGTTACAGCACTCTGGTGGCTATGGGGGGATCGGTGGCCGAGTGGGCTAGTGCACAGCAGCTCGAAGCACGGGGAGCGAAGCTCGTGCTGCAGAACCCAGGAATCCTGTGCTCAATCCCCACCCCTGCCCGTTTCGATCTGGATGAGCATCGTACCGGCGTGCGGTCGTGGATCACTACTGCGTGATGCTCGTTAAAGACCCCAGGCTAGCGGCTCTACTGCACTGGCTATATTGCCCATCTACAGCGAGTGACTTCTCACAACTTTAAATGGCTTACCAACTACATGCTGTATAAATATCCCCACAACCCCAATTCTGGCGGCTATGCGAGACTTGACAAAGTAGTAGAAAATAGTTAACGCTGAGTATAGATCAAATTGCCTGCTGGAACCCGAACATCCTTTTATTTCAGTTACCTCAGTGTTCATTGTCGCGTCTTAACTGGAGTGTTCCAATACTTTAAGGAATATTGCGTTCACGGATCTAATGTACATTAACTGGAGAGCGTAGTCTGTTCTTGCACAAGAGAACAAGATTCCACTCCGTTGAGACCGACAAATCGGAGGAGGAGGAGGGGGGGGGGAGAGGAATGAGCGGAAGGTTTAGTTTAGAATTCACACAGAAATCTCAGATTCCCAAATTCTTTGTTCACAAACAGAGTCGATTCATTAATACACTCAGACGGTGCTTGAAAGAAGAGTCATAATTTCGACTGTCCTTTTTAATCCAATTGCACCTTTGTTTTATCGGCAGAAGCGTTTCGGCCTCTCTCTGTATAGACACGAAATTCTGGACATTTAATTCACCCACTTTTACTAAACAAAACTTTGCTTCTCCTGGATGATTGCCGTATAGTAATACGCTGCTTTACCACTTGTCTTCGCTTTCGTCTCAGGTGTCGCCACCCAGCGAAAACGCGGTTCAGCTGTACACGACTCCCGGCGGGGACAAGGTGCGGTCCTGGTACGAGCGCTACGAGCCGGTCAGCTACCAGATCTCCTCTCCCAGCGGAGATCTCAATGACTTCGAGGAAATGGTGCGCGAGTGCGAAAAAGCGAACGTTCGGTAAGCCAGACACTTGCCAGATGCAGCTGATAGCTGTCGTTTCCGCTCTGGGTCCTGACGCTTCTTTTGAACGTCTCTATACACCTTTTCAGCGCTTACCACGCCCAAAAAAAAAAAAAAGGTCATTGAACTGTGAACAGATGCTGACATCCGAAGAGAGCAACTGTACTACATGCCCAAATTGCGTTGCACCGAAAGCTGCGTGCTGAAGGAGACTATTGGAACGGTCCATAATTCGAGTGTGGACTGTAAACGCGGGGTTTTAATTTTTCTTTTGCCGAACGAGTGATCGCGTTGCCAGAACGGTTTATAAAAGATTACTTTTGCAATCTCATTTGGAAATTTGGTGGTTAGTCAGTCAAGGGTTGTGAACCTTCGGCGCTGTCATAAATAAACGACTGACTCTTTTATAGTATACAGTTACATGGTTACTTGTTTGATATGTCAACAACCTCCTGCCAAAGCAGGATCTTGTCAAGTCGCCAAAGCCTTTGGTTTCTGGCCGGACCAAATATGCACAGCGCCTGGATATGACATAATGAAAATAATGCAAAGTCTAAAAATCGTTTCTCCACTTTCAATAGGGTTGATCGCGTCGATTTCTGTTTTTATTGCAAGAGCAGTTTTTTTTTTTTTTTTTTTTTTTTGACGCCAGAGTTTTTTTAGGGTTGCCTGTTCAGTAAATGCGAGTTATAAATATTGTTACAGATCGCTTTTTTCCCGCTGCTGCCACTTCGTCCTTCGCCCGTCTCCGACCCACTTCTTCTTTTCCTCCTTTTTGTCCCGCTCGTTGCACCTCAATGTCCTACTGTCACATTTTGCCCCCTCCTGGTTGACTGTCCGTCCTCGGCAGTCTGTGTCCTATGCTGGTTTTGACTGAATGTATGTCTTGACACGTACAGCTTCAGTTGACTGCGGTGAGCCGGGAAAGTCCGGGATGCTTCTCGAGATGCATTGAGGTCTCGTAGCCGGTAGCTCACGGGTCCTGTTTGTCGAAGCACTTCACAGGGTCCTTTGTATTTTGGAAGTAGCTTGGTTGCCTTTCCTTTCCTTCTAACGGGACGGCGTACAAGAACAAGGTCCCCTGGCACGATGGGGGACATTCGGTCATCCTGTCGGCGATTGGTTAGCATCCGCTGCTGGGCTCTGGTTATTGCGACGCGAGCCCGGCGGCGAGCCTCATTGAGTCTGTCCTCAAAATGATCGCTCATTTCTTGCCTTCTATGGTTCCACGTGGTGGATAACGTTGATTCCTGCGGCAGAACCGGAGTTCTACCGTACACCAGTTTAAAAGGGGTCGTCGTGGTACTTGCTTGTTGCGACGTGTTGAAAGCAAACGATGCGTATGGTACGTACACATCCCAATTGTCATGCGAAGCATTGACATAAGCGTACAATATATCGGCGATAGTTCGATTAGCACGCTCAACGAGTCCGTTGGTTTGGGGATGGTAGGGTGCTGACTGGGCGTGGTGTATTCCATGAGTTACCATCTCGTGTTTAAAAATACGAGAGCTGAATGGAGTTCCCCGGTCAGTGAGTACGGTGCGGGGTACGCCGTGGCGAAGTACTATTTGCTCACGTAAAAACTCCACAATGTGATTCGCTGACGTTGTAGGCACGGCACGTAGCTCAATCCACTTTGTAAGGTGGTCAACAGCAACAATAATGAAACGGTTACCCTTTTGTGATTTCGGAAATGGTCCTAAATGATCAAGTCCAATAAGTTCGAAAGCAGCTTGCGGTGGTTGAGTTGGATGAATCTCGGTGAAAGGTGAAATACTGGGCAATTTTCTCCTTTGACATGATTCACAGGAAGCGACATACCTGGAAACATCTTTCCGGAATCCGTGCCACCAATAGCGTTCGGAAAGTTTGGCCAGAGTCTTATCTCGACCGAGGTGACCCGCTGTGGGGTCATCATGGCAGAGATTCAACATGGTAGCCCTCAGAGAAGCTGGAATCACCGGTAGCCATTGTTGTTGACCGGGATTTCTGTGACAGAGTAGGCCATCTTCCACTCGGTATGCTCGACGCAGTCGCCGTAAAATGTCTGTCGAACCGGATAATGCGAGGCGCTGTACAATATCTTGTACTTCGTTATCTTGACATTGACTGTGACGTAGGTCGAAAGTCGCACCACAAAAACAAGTGTCACACTCCGGAGCCTCAGGGACCTTGTCTAGGGGGTTGCGGGATAGAAAGTCAGCGTCCTGATGACTACGTCCATTACGATGTATGACTTCAAAATCATACTCTTGCAGTAGAATCGCCCAGCGTGCCAGTTTGGCCGTCAAGTCTCGTTTGCTCTGAAGCCAGGTCAATGTTGAATTATCCGTCACAACAGTAAAATGGCGGCCATAAAGGTAAGGGCGAAATTTCTGCACCGACCAGACAAGGGCCAGACATTCTAATTCAGATGAATGATTCCTCTCTTCTTGTTGTGTAAGCCTGCGACTTGCGTACGAAATTACTCTTTGAGTACCGTCTGGAAACTCTTGAAGTAGTACAGCTCCAAGTCCTTGTCCGCTAGCATCCGTGTGGAGAATTGTCTTTGACAAGGATGGGTCGAAGTGAGCAAGCACTGGGGCGTTTAGGAGGGCCATTTTAAGGTCTTGAAACGAGGACTGCTCTTCGTTGCACCATCGCCATGGTACGTTCTTCCGGAGTAAGTAATTCAAGGGGGCAGCGCGGGTAGCAAAGTTAACAATAAAACGGCGGAAATATGACGCAAATCCCAAAAAACTTCTGACGTCTTTGATAGTTGTTGGCGTTGGATATTCAAACAAAGCCTCAAGCTTCGAGGGATCAGGTTTAACGCCGTTTTTGTTTACCACATGTCCCAAGTATGTGATCTCTTTGAAGCCGAAAAAACACTTCTGGGGCTTCAGACGAAGGTTGGCATCACTTATGGCGTCAAGTACGAGTGAGAGTCTTCGAAGATGTTCTTCAAAAGTGTTTGCGTAGATTACAACGTCGTCCAAATACACCAGCGCCATTGTCCACTTCAGATTGCCCAAAACTCGGTCCATGAGTCTTTGAAATGTCGCTGCGGCATTGCAAAGGCCAAAGGGAAGACGGTTGAATTGGTAGAGACCATCTGGTGTGATGAAGGCTGACTTTTCAGCGTCCCTTTTATCGAGTGGCACCTGCCAGTATCCCGACATCAAATCCAATGTTGTAAAGTATTCCGCTCCCTGCAGTCGGTCAAGGGTATCATCAAGACGCGGAAGAGGGTAGACATCGAGCTTGGTTGTATTATTAAGCTTTCTGTAATCTACACAAAACCGCACAGTGCCATCTTTCTTTCTCACTAACACCACTGGTGATGACCATGGGCTCGTTGACGGACTCACCACACCGTGGTCGAGCATCTCAGTCACTTGCTGTTTGATGGTTTCACGCTCTGTTGGGGCTAGGCGGCGTAGTGGCTGATGTATTGGTCGGCTGTCACCGGTGTCAATGGTATGTGTCGCATACGGTGTGCATCCAAGTTCGTCCGAACTCAGAGCGATGCAGTTTCGATGTGACAACAATACCCTCTTGATTTTCGTTTTCTGCTCGCAACTCAAATCTGGTCCAAACTTAAATTGTTCCCACGGTAAAGCATTATCCTGACTGTAAAAATGGCACTCGTTATCTGACTCTAGAGAAATACTGGCAAGTATTGAGATCTTGTCCTTCGCCAACGGTTGGAGTACACCAATCTGTTTCCCTGGATTGAGAGTGATGTCGTTGGCACCTAGATTAACGACAAGAGCGACGAATTCTCCATTAGTACAAGCCACGAGTGTCCGGGGTGCAGCTAGTTCTTTCCCTGGATTTCGCACAGAGCCACGAGTCGAAAACAGCTTCACCGTAAACCTTTTTGTTGTTTACAGTCAGGCGTATCATTGAAGCAGTCTCGGCAGGTATTGTAGCAGAGTCTTTAACGCATACGTTTAACTCATCCGATAGCTGTACTTGAGCACATATGATGTTGGTATATTGGGAAAAAAACTTTAGAAATAGGTGCCACTTTTCCACGGCGACGAAGGAAAATGAGCGAACGAGGTACACAAGCCACACCAAAATACTTTCGCATCGTGGAATGCTGGCGTGTAATGTTTTCATGGGTAGATGCGGGGTTTTGGTGGCCTTGTTCTGTTCGGGGTTCAACTTAAAAAATCCGTTTTTTTGGCACCACTCATAACCCAGAATGATCGGAGAGACGGAATTCGACAAAATTACGAAGTCCACTAACGACGTCTCACCGAGCGCAGTGACCAGTAACTTCACTTGTCCACCGGTGTGAACTTTGACGCCGTTGGCTGTAAAAAGTTGTGGAGCAATCCGGGAGACATTACAATCAGCCGGTACAAGCGTCGCGTCGATTATGTTAACCGCTGCTCCAGTATCGAGGAGACTTTCTTGTATTCCAATCCCTTGAATCTCCACTTTGGTAGTTGGAAGACCAGTAAAACTCTTTGAAAGAGAGACGAGGGGGACTTGGTCCTCTATACCCGATCCCGCCCCTGTGGACCGGGATATCCGTTTCCCGACGCGCTGTAACACTCTGCAGCCAAGTGTCCTTGTCGCCCGCATTGAAAACAGCGCCTCTTGGTGTTAACTCGTTGGTGACCTTCAGGTTGCTGGCGTGCTCCAGGCGTCTCCAGATGAGTAGTTGGCTGTAACTGTGCCGGGCAAGAAGCCTGGGCGTTTGCTGTTGCCTTTTGAATGGCTGAGATCTCCAACGCCTTAGCCAAAGCCTCTTGAGCTGTCTTTGGCCCTCCAAGTCGAACAAATTTTTGAACTTCAGTGTCCGCAATGGCGTCGACGAAGGCAGTAGTGCTGAGAAGGTGAAAAGTGTCGGCGGAAACTCCCACAAATGATTTTCGCGCTAGGCACTCAACTTCTGTTGCCAGGGCTTGGAGTGTCTCCCCCGGCTGTTGTCGGCGGCAACGTAACTCGCCATAGCGGACGTGTTGTAGATGTTTGTCACCAAAGCGGTCTTCAAGTGCCGCTACCAACGTTTGGTAGGTTAGAGCTCTTCCTTGAAGTTGGGCCAGTATTGCGATGGCTGGTCCCTGTAGTTGTGCCGCAAGAGCGTAAGTTGTTTCATCTTCGGACCATTGGTTTGCTTGAGCAACAATATTAGCTTGCTCGAGGTAAAGGTCAAGTGGCACGCTACCATCGAAGGGCTTCAGTTTCAAACGAAGGGGATTCGAGGCGGCAGGAACTGTGCGTACCGTTGCTGAGTCGGTCCGATTCTCCGAGTCTCTCCTTTCCTCTAGCGCTATGATTCTTTGTCGAAGGTCTTCTTGTGCTGACGTAACGGGTTGCACCTGCGCCTGGACCATAGCCGCCATCGTTGATTCGAAGCCCTGTCTCTGTTCTACGAACAGATCCCTCAGTTGGGCGTAGGTAACTGGACCTTCAGTGTTGCTGGTGTCCTCGGGAGAAGGGGAAGGTTCGCCAGACTGCGCTTGTTGTCGTGTGAAGGGCATTTTCTTTTCGCAGATCCCACTTCTGACACCAAAATGTTACAGATCGCTTTTTTCCCGCTGCTGCCACTTCGTCCTTCGCCCGTCTCCGACCCACTTCTTCTTTTCCTCCTTTTTGTCCCGCTCGTTGCACCTCAATGTCCTACTGTCACAATATTAAACAAATTCATTTGTAAGTTTACTAGAGTTATAAAAAAAAAGTGGAGCTTGGTGTATATATTAAGTAGTCTATGAATACATATAAAGACTATTCTAACTTGGTTTTGCTGTATCATGATCACCTTAATGTTACGCAATGGGGAGAATACGACTGCATAAGAATACGATGCTCGTCCACGTGGAAACGGAGAGGGCCAGGGATTGAACACAGGGTCTTCCGGTTTTGTAGCAGAATGTCTCGCTCCACATGCTCCGAGTAGCGATGCACTGACCGATGGTCACCGTTCCCTGCACTTGTAAGCTTTGACGAAAATTTTGCCCATTACAAAACTAAGATTACTTTTTCTGTTTTGTTAATAAAACGCCTTTTTTTTGTCTTAAAAAATTATTCCTTTAAATTATTTGAGATATTAGTTGACGTGATTCACGGGAAGAAACCTGAAGCTATAGAGACACAAAACGCCAGAACGGCAGAAAGACTGCAAAGACAAACATTTCTCGAGACCTTCTGCTGCTGTCATCGGAAAACTAGTTTTCAAAACCTTCTCCCTTCAACTTTTCTGTGCAGAGTGTACGTGGACGTCGTCCTCAACCACATGACCTCGGACATCGGTGAGGGCCATGGCTACAACGGAAGCGCCTTTAATTCGGACAACCTCGTGTACGAAGCGGTTCCGTACCGAGCCAGCGACTTCCACTCGTCAGCAGACTGCGGCACTGCCAGCGGGGAGATCGAGGACTATAGCAACGTAGTGCAGGTATGTACACACCTCGTGCACCAGGTTGCAGCTAGTCTTTATCAGCGGCTCTAGGAAACATGCACTAGCGCGCAGCATTCTACCAGACCCGTGTGTTTGACGTGCGCAAGATAGTCCGAAAGTCGTTTCTGGGCATGTCTAGTTGAAACATGAGCAGGTGGCAGATCGACAACACAAGGCGCGTGTTCAATATCGCGTACGCTATTTACTCGAGTAACAGACGTAAAACTTAGGAGCAAGGCTTTTGCGTCTACTCTCCTGCAGGACGCGCATACAGTCAACTATCGCGTTATGTATCAGAAATGTAGCGAATTCCCAAGTCGAAAATACGATTTTTCGCAAAATGCGATCTGTCAGATTGCATTGTCGCGCGAAAACGTTATCTCTGTTTCGTCAATCGCTGGCACCCTTTTGTCGATCGTAGTGGTTGGCTATCCGCGCGCTCCGCGGGAAAGCTGACTCACAGATTCTGTTCATAAATGGTGTGTTTGCAACTGGAGTAAATATGGTCTATTCAGTCTCCTTTGGAGTAAAATCTTTAAAACATAAAGAACGCCTAACGTCACTCGAGTCTTGCTGTCACGTGGAATTACCAGTGAAAATAATACGGATCTAGTCAGGTAAAAAATTGTTAATATGGTCGAAAGGTAATATAAGGATCGTTTTGATATAAAGCTAATTCGTTTGAGCGAGCTTTATTCTCCAAAGGCTCAACAAGAACTGGTATAGGAAGTATTGTATAAAGGTTCAGCTTCACTGCACTCGATTCAAGATAAATAATCAGTGCCGCTACGTGACTTCCTGGCAACGCAGTTTCTAAAGTGGTCCGTCCCACACCGCGAGAACGCTTCACATGGTACCGGTACTTATGCTGTGAACATGTTTCGGGGCAATCATGTCGCCGTTAATAGAATATCTCCGGTCGATACTTTGAAAACGTTACGTTGTGTGATGAAGTGAACATATCTTTGTAAAAAGAAAAAAATGACTGATATGAAACCCTTGTCGCGATTGTATTTATTTCTATTAAAAAAACCGAAGAAACGATTTTAGGGAAAGCTGTTATTTTCAAAACAAACCCCCTGCAACTTAGCGTTTGCCATATTTATTTTGCTTAGTTTTGCTTGTACTGTACACTACTCATGTTTGTGATATTATCTGTAAAACCGAAGGGAGAACATTGAAATTAAAAGGATACATTCAGCAAGTAAGAAAACCGAAAATATTAATTGAAAAATAAAAGTCGACCGCGACAGAAATCATGCAAATGCCACTATTGCTTTAATATTGATATAGCTTTAACGAAAACTAGGCTCAATTCAGAAAACTTGTCTATAAAAGGCGATATATATTTAAAAGAAAGTTATTTGAATGACCGCTGAAGCAACGTCGCGATCGAGGGGATAACGTATCCAGGCAACTTAGGCATTTCGAGTGAACAATACAGGAAAAAAAGGAAAGAAATAGACTGTGTAATCGAGATGCTTTACAATTGTGTATAGTTTGTTAAATCCCTAAAATATCTAGCATAATAATAAAACGTTTGAAGTGAGAACGGCTTGTCTTTCTTAACTACGCAAATTATCAGACATGTCAGGCAACATACATTAATCTTAAAATTGCTCATCCGCTTTATAATTTACTTAAAAACAAACAACCACTCGGGCAATTTTTCATGGCCGCTATCTACCTGTAAGGATGCTGGATGAACTACAATCTGACCTTTTTTTTTTCAGTATTAAAATGCATATCGCAGCGCCGGTCGTATAAGTGTAACGCTTTCCAGCGATACATTCGAGACATCTCTTAATTGGTTATGCGAAAGTGGTCAAATTGACGTCACCGGTCATAAGCAGCAGACCTTTGATCCATGAGAGTGCACGTCATCTGTGCACGTTTAGGCACTTTCTTTTCTAACAGTCTCGACGTTCCTCGTCAGTGCAGGTTCGAAACTGCAAGTTCAGGGGTCGCGCGGACCTCAACCACCTTCGTGAGCACGTCCGCCAGAAGATAGTGGAGTACCTGCGACGTCTCGTATCTCTCGGAGTAGCTGGCTTCAAGATCGACGGGGCCCAGTACATCTGGCCGCAAGATTTGGCGGCCATCTATGGGCAGATCAAGCCAGCACCGGAAGTTGAGAACGGTCTGGACGCCGTTGTCGATGACACTCTTTTTATCTACCATGAACTGTCTGCCCTCAACGTCACTTCCGGCGACGACTACAGGGCTCTCGGTGCCGTGACTGATTCCAAGTTCTTCAAAAAGACAGGTGAGAATTCGACGGTCCGTCGAGGTTTTCCGGAACGTGCTGAGAAGAAGCTCCCGGATGTGAATATGCCACCTATTCACTCTCAATTAAAATCGCACGGGCACAATGAAACCTCACCTTTGACGAGTGTTTTGTAGTTTTTATTGCAAGCCGTTGGTCATCTGTTATGTACAGACGACGCATAGTCAAACAGTTCCGTACATCGAGGCTAAAAAGAAACAACAAAAAATGAAAGCTGCCATTGCTTGATATTAATTTACAGACGTCCTGACGACATGGCGGAATAACCTGCAGACTCGGTTCGGGGTTGAAACTGATTCTGTCCCTTCTTCTGTGAGCAAGAAGAATCGGGTAGACTTTTTCGAAGTATAGCTGAGGCGGTCTCTTGCGGTAAGGTGGCACCATTGAATGGTCTTCTTGGCTGTAGGCTCAAACCCACACATTGCGTGTTTGGCAGGTGATAATATATACTGCTTTGTTTTGATATAAAAGCAACATCGACGATTAATGAGAGCTGAAAATATTACCTATGGCCGGTTGCTGTTGAAATGTCTTGATTAAAGCAGGAAAATAACTTCTTTCCAGAACTTGATTATTCTCATCTTCCGGAAAACGACGTTTCCTTCCATAGGTCGCCTATGGAAGGAAAGCGGTTTAAACGTCATTTTATGTACAGGAAAAAACGGTTCAAGCGAGATCTAATTTCTATTGTTTCGCTGCCAATAAATTAATTGCAAAATTAAAAAAAAAAAACTGATTTAACTTGTACGTTTGGTTTGGCACGGGGCATTGTCTAGTGCGAAGTTCTTTCAACAAAGAACAGTTTATGGTCGTATGCATTGTATCAGCCCTCATTGCATCCGATTTCGATCGAGCTCGAGTGTTCAAGTTTCTTTCCCAAGCGTTGTAAAACACTTGTGATCACTTGCTTAGTGGCAAAAACATTCTATAGCCGGCGACATGTTAAGAATTAAGAATACAAGAAAATCAGCCCCCACAGAAACTTCCACTTTTTTCACTTTAGCACAGCGAAAGCTGGAGAGGAGGCAAATCCCTCTTCGCCTTATCTCCAGCGTTCGCTCAGCTAAAGTGGAGAGTGAAAGGTTTTGTGGAGGGAGCTTGTCCTGCTCTCAACTATCACCCGCATGGTTTCTTTTTTTCTTTTTTTGCCATCGGCTGTTTTTATTGCCCGCTGACCGTAATGCATCGTGTTTAGTGTTTTAAGTTCATTATTACTGTTCCTTAGATGTGATAATAAACGTAAATTCTACAATGACTAGAAAAGCGGATAATATATGACGATGTCGATTCAACGCCCATTAAAAAAAGACTCTTTTTAATAAGATCACATTTTAGCCAACGTCCTTAGGAAGACCAAGGGATCTGAGCTGAGGGACCTCAAGCAAGACGTGTTGCACTGGTCTTCGAGAGACGTACTGTACGTCGACAACCACGAGACCCAGCGTGGAGTGGACGTTTCGGACCCGAAGCAGGACGTCGTCTCGTACCAGGACCGGAGAAACCACGTCCTGGCCAACATCCTGATGCTGGCCATGCCGCAGGGCATTCCCCGAGTCATGAGCAGCTACGCTCTGAACGTAGACGTTCAGCCCTACGTTCCTCCGCAGAAGCTGGGCCCGCCTTCGGACCACGCCTTCAACACCCGTCCCGTGCTCATGAAGGAGGACTACGCCTGCTACAATGGATGGATATGTGAACACAGGTACCAGTGTCTAATTGCTAGTTCTTCGTGCTATTAACGCCCAGATGTTTCGGGTGCGCCCTCTTATGGTTTCCGTTCGTGACGTCACGACCAAAAATGTTTCTCGCCGTGACGTCATGAGCTGTAATCTTTGACTACTTATCATCAGTTGCGAACTATACAAGTTCTATAGTATGTGCAAAAATAACAATAGAAAATTGGAATCATCGTATTATTAAGGGGGATTTAACCGCTATTTATTTGTAGCCTTTTTCTCATAGATGACGCTGATTTCTTTCCGGAATAAACGAGCTGCTCGCAGCTGCGTATGCAGGTCTGGAGCTCGGGGTGGGCTCGGGTCACGGGTTGTTCGCCGCTGATCTATAAGCGAGCCGCGAGCGCGTGGCTTCACGTGTGGTTTCGTTGTCACGATAACGCATGCAAATGATCTGGGAGATCAAACCCCACGTTGCCATGACATGGCCATGGCTCTCATTGGTCCTACTTTGTTGCGTGCTGCAGCAGACAGAAATTGCACACAAACCATTCTCCGGCAAAACTGATCTCGGAATAGTCAGGAAAACGACGTGTGCCACCGTGCATTCAAGTTCAAGGGAACAAGAACAAATGCCACGGCCCGGCCGGGGCATTTGGTGCTGGTGTCGCCATCTCGTTGAACTTATTGAAATTAAATCTAACGAAAACTGTCCTGTCAAATTTCGGTACGCATATACCACAACATTTAGCCATCTTGTCGGGGTCTTAAAACTAACATACGAGACATATCTAGGCTGTACAACATATACCGCATTATATAGCCTTCCTATCATGGGTCTTAAAATAAAATAGGATGCATCTTTAATACTTACAACCATTCGTTTTGTCGCTCTTATCTTAAAAGTAATCTTAATTTTTAATCTGCCTCAAAACACGCTAAATACAGTCAAAACAGTCATAAACCTACCATGGACCAACTAGCCCAAACCAAAGTTTTAATGAGAAATATTTTAAGATTTTTCATCTGCAGGGGGAAAACCGCTTCCCCATTTCCTTCTCTCCATTTCCTTTCGTAATCTTCTCCCCTCCTCTCCCATAGGAGCGGGACTCCGAGCTACTCCCCGCAGTGCGGATTAGATGGTTCCTTCTCCCTCTTTCGAACGGAAAGGAGGTGTTCAGAGAGAGTTTTCTTCTTTCTGGCTGATCGTCGGCCCCATATCGTCAAGGTTGACGCTCTGACGTTGCGCTCATTTCCATCGATACGAGAAGAATCAATCCAGATAAAGGCGTCACAATGTCCGTTTGGCCCATCAAGAATTGCGATCACGGCGAAGCTTTTGGTCGCGCACGTCGCTGATAGATGCCGATAACTTAAGAAACGCAGGGCGCAGTTTATTACGTTCAGAATCACTGTTCCATGACTGGTTTTTCGGCGCTCTTATCAGCTAATGTCCGAATCCCATTGGCTGTGCAGCAAAAACAAGTTTCTCGGGACCCTCCATGCCCTGCGTTTCTGAAGCCGCCAACAGTAATCACGTTTGCATTTAGCTGCAGGGCTTCAAATTCACGTAGGCATACGACCTCGAACCTACATGGCTGGGATCTATACGATGCTCTCTAGCTAATGTTACATAAAGCTTTTTTTGGAAACGTTATAATTTGAACGCAGTTATCTGAATCTACAATCTATTGAGAAAAAGATGGCTATTACTCAAATCTACTCTAATAAAAAAAAGACGTACGTAAGCCTACGATTTATGGCATTGCCGCATCCTATCTTGACCATCAACCCTGTCTTCCCATATACAGCGTGAAGCGAAGAAATCGATAGCTGTTTGAACGACCGCATAAACCGGTTTCCGAACGTATTGAGCTAAGAGTTTATGCAGACGTGACAGAAGAACGTGCATTCAGGGTGTACAAATTTCACTGAACAAACTTACGTGAGTAAAAAGTTAGAAATAGACAACTTGAAATCCCTACCTGTTCGGTGACGGTATGAGGCGTCTGATTTGCGCAAGAGCCGATCGGCGGTGCTCGGGGGGGGGGGGGGGGGGGGGGGGGGGGGGGGGGAGGCGGGAGGCAGGCAGGAAAGGCATTGAGTGCTGCATTTTATTTTATTTTTAGTCAGCTTCGGTAATGGCATTAGTGCTGTCGGTGTATTATTTTGAAGGTTTCCCTCCTTGTGCCTTGCCCAGCGTAGAACTCTAGGGGAGCTCGGAGGTCGCGCTGAAACTCCGCCCGGAAATGTCGGCGGAACTTTTTCGTCGTCTGGCGTTCCCTGTACCATAGAGGAACCTTCACTCGCTCGTTGCAGCAGACAGCGCACCATGAAGATGACATGCTTCTGAAGGTTTCCGGCTGGACGTAGAGGGGAAAAACGAAGGAGGGGAGAAAAAGAGCCACACACTGCCAGGCAGTCACAAATGAAATGACTTACACCCGAAAACAGCACGGACGAAAGTTGCGGAGAGCAGACGTGGTAAAAACCAGAGCGCAAAGCAAACGACGGCATGTAAGCCCAAAGAAGAAGAAAAAACGAGACAACGCCTATATTTTGTTGTTCTCGTTATACCTTAATTGTTTTTAATGTTTTATTGGTAGAATAAAATAGTCATGCACTGACAATTCGTACAGAGTAAGAGCGCATCGTTGAGGGAAGCGCCCGTCGTGGGGCTTTGCTCGACTAGAGATCTTTCGTGCCGCCATCTGTCGGCTGTTGCGCCAATCATACGCCTTTCGTTAGCAGACGGCCGCAGTAAATAAGGTTTTCAAGTTTTTCATTTCTAACCTTTTACTCGAGTAAGTTTGTTTAGTAAAATTGTTATACCCTTAATGTGCGTTCTCTGGTCACCGTTGTACAAAATCTTAGCTCAATACATTAGCAAACCGATGTATGCGGTCTCTTCAAACAGCCATTAAATCCTTTGCTTCCCGCTGTAGTTCCAGGTTTCTACAATGCTTTGTCTAGTGGAAAACTGAGTAATGCACATGGCTGTTTAAACCTAAGTTCAGGCGTCTGTTCATGCCCCTGATACTTGTAAGCGTAAAAAACTTCACACTGTAGCTAAAGCAGAGCAAACTCGTAGCTTCTGGGATGGATAGAACTCAAGCCTTTAATGCCCTACTAAAACTGCAGATTAAAGTTTTGGCGAGGCAGTGCCAACGTCTATTTGAAAACATATAGGCGGAAATTCACAGAAATTTCTTTCTTCTAGCCGACTAAGTTTCGTTCAAATAAAATTTACGCGAGGGACTAAAAGAGAAATCTCTGGTAGAGCTATATGAAAACCTGTAAGCAGCACAAAATAAACGAAGGACAAGAACAAGAAGTGAACGAACACAAAGCTATACTTCGTTTCCTCTTGTGGTGAACGACAGCGGAAGGCTAGGGACTGTGACACGGCCCTGGTGAGGCATTGTTACGCATTGCAAAGTAGTGCGTCAAAGACGTTTATAGCACAAGGCGCGTAGCCTTTGTCCTTAACATAATGTTCGTGTTTTGTACCAGTGATACATAATTTATGTTGTACTGGGTGATTCGAGGAGAGGCCAGGCTCGTTAAATCGACCGCAAAATTCAGTTTCTTAACCTATTGCGCTACGACTTTGCGCAGAGTTGCCCCCAGATGGTGCTTTTTTTTTTTTTTGTGAAATTTGCGAAGAGCGAATTTACCTGAGGAAAAAGTAAAGAAAACAAAAGGCTTAGCTCCTATGAAAACGCAGCGACGTCATCGGTGTTCAAACAACACGGCGCCGTTTGACACGGGAAACAAGAGATGGCGCAACGAACGCCGCCAACGAACGAGCATACGGCGCCGAGAGCAGGCCTTTTTAGCAGACGATCTTTTCGACTCAAAAGCGGCGCGCGTTCCGCAGGCGGCGACAGTCGCAGAAACAAAAACAGGCGCGGTAACAACAAGGAACTGCAGCTTCTTCTCTGCTAAAGACGCCGGCTCTCGGAGTCGTATGCTCGTTCGTAGGCGGCAGTTGGCGTCGCGACCGCTTGCGCCATCTCTTGTCTCCCGCGCGAAACGGCGCCGTGTTGTTTGAAGACCGGTGGCTTTGCTACGTTTCCATAGGAGCTAAGCCTTTTTCTTTCTTTACTTTTTCCTCATGTAAGGTCGCTCTTTGCAAATTTTACAAAAAAAAAATGCACCATCTGTGGGCAACGCTGCACAAAGTCGTAGCGCGATAGGTTAAGAAACCGAATTTTGCGGTCGATTTAAAGAGCCTGGCCTTTCCTTGAATCACCCCGTATAATGAAGCTCTCTAACGTGATAATTCATATAGTATACATATATGTAGCATATGTTTAGAGAAACTAGACTTGTGATTGGCATTGGCAACGCTTTCGTTGCTGTCACGTTCGTTTATTGAACATTCATGGAGCAATGGTTGACATAATATGGTGCAAAAAAAAATTTCTTTAGACTGAAAGTTTTATATTTCAAAATTATTATGTACAAACTGAACCCGAGTTATATATTTATTGGAACAAGTAATCTGAACTTTAAAATTACCTTGCTATCTCCTCAAAATGCCACATGACAAATGTAACTTCGCCAACTGCGCTCTCCCTTTCGTTCGCCGTAATGGCCGCGGAATGGCAGGCCAATCTCCGCCGGGGGCTTCTGTGTTTTCATCGCTAGCTCACTTCCAGACAGTTTTTGCAAAACTATCCGCTTTCGGAAGAGAAGCGCGGCAAATCGTGCTCAACGTGCACCTCAAACTTCGTTTTGAGCCTCCGAGCGAGTGTATGAAGCGATCGAATTCAAGAAACGTCTGAGCTGTGGTGAATGCGGAATGGAGAGAATACGTTTATTCGTCAGTGTCGCATGCGTTTTGGCGTTGCAAAAAAGGACAAAAATAATTGCGTTCCGCTGCGCTTGCTTCGTCAGTCACTCCCAACAGCTTTCTGCAGCGTAATGTTAGTAGAGTTGGTAGTCGGCATCGACACTTTCAAATTCGACACACGAGCCCTGGCCTTAGAGTCCAAGCAAGCGAGACACTTCGCAGGGGCGTTAGGTTGGAGTCGACGTTCCATTGTCCAAGCCTACCTCGTCCATGACGTGACGGAAAAGTTTCTAATTTTCCGTGTGGCACAAGAAGTAAACCGAAGAGTTTCTGCGGACACTGCTTCCGCTCGACTTGCAAGGCCTCTGTGATAGCACACCGTGCCATACCCACGATCCTACTCACAAAATGGAGACTGCACAGCTGCGCGTCAGCCTCGGTACGTCATGAGGTTTCAGCCACGATCACCAAAGATATATACTTGAACTTGTGCAGTAAATCTAGGAAAGTACACGAGGTCCGAATTTTCTCGAATACAGTAGACAAAAACGTTTAACGCGCACCGCGTTCACACTGGGCTTCCAACCAACGTCATTTTAACACGCGCACTGATATACGACCGAAGAGCCAGGTGACAGAACTTCTAAACTGACTCTTGGTTGGCTGTGAAGGCACCTATAGCCTTCCGCTGCGGTTCAACACAAGATGAAATGAAGTATAGCTTAGAACTTGTCTTGGGTGTGTCTTGCTCAACATATGTGACGTTAATTCAATTGGTAGGCGGTAATCGTAAGGATAGTGCATAGAAGCTGCCTACTTATCCAGATCTGCTGAATATGTCGTGCTGTTAAGTTAGCACCGTTGCTTGGACGTCGGTTTTAGTTGGCGCCAGCGATGATAATATTTTGAATAAATAAATCAAGTGATATCCTTCTTATAGCGGTCAGCTCCTTTCATTTTGCATGTTAATTTACGCATGCATATAAATGAAAAGCTAAATAGTTGAATGGGGAGAGGGATCTACACATCTTGGTGACGTTTTGCTCAACCTGATATGCGAAAAATTAGAGCTCCCGAATGCACACGATGAACTTCAACCCCTTCTCACCTGTCCGAAGTCCTCTTTGGGACAGCGGTTCCCGTGTCTAAATAAAACTTCAAGGCCTTGCGCAGAACTTTTCTATGGTAAGCTAACCTGACTGAAATAAGCTCTGAAATGCCTCAGAAAACAATATGCCAGACTGAATGCAGCCGACCTATTTTGTCATGTGGTTGGCTCGTGCCTACCCCGCGGTCTCGAGACCCTGCATCGTGTGAAACGCCACCTCACCACCGTTTTTCCCCTCATGTAGGTGGCTACCCATACGAAACATGGTCAAGTTCCGCAATGTTGTCGCTTCGGCGCCTGTCACCAACTGGTGGAACGACAGCGAGGACGCCGTAGCGTTCGCCAGGCTCCGCAAGGGCTTCGTGTTGATCAACAACGGCCGCTCCACGGTCACGGGACTGTTCAACACCACCCTGCCTCAGGGCTACTACTGCGACATCCTCAGCGGCAGTTCGGTGGACCGCAGATCCTGCACGGGCAACGTGGTTCGGGTCAGGGAGGACGGTTTCTCCGAGCTGGCCGTTGAAGGCGTCGGAGACGTGCCTGCCGTCGCCATTCAAGCGGACGTGAGTAGATTGCGCCCTTTGTGTGGCCCCCCTAAAATGTTGATGCAAACATTTTCGTGCTTTCAGTAAATAGCGATTTGAATTATTCCTTGACATTCATAGTCCATGAAACACGCGTTAGTTGTTGTTGCCGTTGTACTGTTCATTGAGCGGAAGTCCCAGAAAACAAAGGAACAAGAAAACCGAGCAGCGTTTACCCCCTTAACACGCAGCCACAACAAGAAGCGACGTGATCAGGAACCGAAAATATGTCCCCAATGTTTATAATAACAACTTGCTGGGATTGACAAAGCACGGTGCACTTGGTTAGTTTTAAAGATTGTTAAGATTCGGCCATATCCGTCATTGTAGTGATTGGACACGAACCACGTGTACTACCCAAATGGATGTCGAGACGTTGATTGCCACGAGCCCAAATCGAATGCTCGCACAGTGCTCGTGTCCACTGCATGAGCCGCATCTAAATATTATCACCACGGTAATCACAAAGCTCGATGAAAAAATCTTGGGGTTCGCATTGTTGACAACGCCAACAATGCGATCCGCACGACTTCGTCATTAAGGTTTTTTGAAGGAGAGTTAAAGAAAACGTGCGATTTGATTCTTGAAATTACGCGTCGAGGAAGCTTCCTGATCAGTGGCGTTGCGTGCGAGCATATGTGCCAGTAAGCTTATGCTGAGCGAGGAACATTTTTACGAATATCGTTACACGGCCCTTTTATGCGGTATTCACACAGGGAAAAAATCTGCGGAGGGATGGGCGTGACGTCCTTCACACCGACGAGGTGCCGGGGAGGCGGGATGTCCGCGTTTGCAATCTGAGACCCTTTTCAAAAGTCCGCGCCAACGCCTGTCCGCCACTGCTTGGACACATGCTCTCAGTACGCATTGCACACGAGGCACGCGTCGGCGTTCGGCGCGAACTCGGCTCAGCTCGTATTGGAGACGAGCGCTACGTCATCCTTCGGCGAGGAATTGGGTTCAATCACGCGCTTCGTGAGCAAGCAACGGTGACCGCCAATGTTGCTTGGTAGACTTTGGAAAAGGGTGTATTGAGAGGTTTTCACTTTTGACGCATGCAGTTGCAGACAAATGTAACGGTCGCAATGCTTAACACCAATGCGTTAAACTACAAAATATCGCCAAAAACAAACTCATCCGCCCCCAAACCGTGATTGCTTGTACCGCCTCAGTACCCCTTACGACCCTTTCTTCCTTCCTCCACCACGGAAATGACGTCACAGTGCCGCGTTGCAAGAGCCATGACGTTTTCGTCACGTGATGCGCCGTACCGGGAGATATTTCTGGGATTTGTCCTCCGTGTCAATACCGCTTTATGGTCGACGAGGAGCACTTCAAAGGGACAGTGCAGCGATATTGACTTGGAATGTTTTTCACTTCAGAAAAGCTTACTGACAGTACTAAAAACAAAATATACGTGTTAGCAAAAACAAACAAAAAGAAAGATCGTGTTTTCTTTTACTTTTAAAATTGCGCATCGCCGAACGTTCATTTTGTGCCTAAAAGTAGCCCTATAGTGGCACAGACTAGATGCCAAAGTTCAAGAGCTTAATTTAAATGTTTAAAATATCGTTTACACCTTTTGATTTAGATAACGACACGCTCTGAAAATTTGGCATACGGTTCGGACCGCTAAAGCTGCATTAGGCCGGAGAGAAAGCTATTCAAAGTACTTATTTTATTTTAAAAACACGTGCTTTTTTTTTTTTTGGGGGGGGGGGGGGGGGGGGGGAGGGACACTTTTGCACGCAATGCCACTGACACTCAGTCTTTTTAGGCGCGGTGTAATTTTACAGATAAAACCGGAATTTTTATTCCAGTCCCTCTTTCGAAGAACCTGGTGAGGTAGCATAGGGGTCGCCCGGTGTTGACGTAAACGTCCATAGTGATGGCCCTGGTGTGATATCTGAATGCGACTCATAGACAAGCATTCCGTGAGCACTTGATTTGAGCTCGTAACATTCAATGGCTCTTTAAGCATTCGGGTAGTTGCTTGTGTTCAATCTCTGCAATGAAGAAAAAAATTTAACCCTAACAATGTCTAATACCCCGGTCAGACAGGCTAATTTAGTGTACTTCAACGGAGCCCTTAGTGAAATTTGTATAATGTGTCACGCGGCTTCTCCTGAAAAACCTGCTCGGCTTCAAGTGAGTTTGCTTGTGCTCCTTTGTCGTCTTTTTCTTCATCTTAGCTCGTAATAATCAATCAGAATCATCCAACTGGCATAAATAGTGTCAATTAACGTAACGTTACCTTTTAAAGTGTTTTTACTAAAGAAGACTAAATATTGCTGAGACATTTATGCCTTTATTTTAACATTTTAGATGTTTAATTTTACTTTACCCATCGTTATTGTCATCATTTCCGAGTGAAACTATAGACGCTTTCAGGCAGCTGTGCTTGGGCGCCGCCATAACCGACCGTCAGTTTTTGTTCCCTCTTATTCCGTTCTCTCCAATTCATAATTACCACAGAAGGACAGGTTATCGACATTTTAGGTGTCACTGTGTACTTCTCCCCAGCATAGGCCCTTGTGGAGACTCGACAACGCCCGCTTCAGTGTCTCGGCATCTCGGTAAGACAAGAGAAGGTCGGCTATGGCGGCTCAATCTGGCGCGCGCTGAAAGCGTCTATAGTTTACCCCATGTGGCACGGAAACACTTGAAGTGATATAGACCCTTTCCGAAATTCAGTGCCATCTGGTGGCTGAAATGGCGGTTTAACTTTTGCCATACGAATGGCGGCAATGAACCCGTAGCCTGCAGTATTTTATCGGGCACCGTCACTTTTGCATGTCAACGGCAGACGAGAATAAACTTTTCGCTATACAGGTTTTTCTCAGTCATCTCTTCCAGTGTCGATTCGCACAACGATGCAACCAGTCAGAACGAAGCGCCAACCCAGACAGACGCCTTGATAAAGTTCTATAAGTCAAGGGCTTTCGAAGTCGATTATGTGCCACTAACAGGTTCACTGGGCTCAAATGAGAGAAATGAACACTTACGCAACGCTTGCATTCAATTCCGGTTTCGCAACGTGCTAACGTCTAGAATGTATAGGCCTCGAATCCTCAGCTTATGAGTATCTTCAACATGTTCCTTCATCAGTAAATAGAAAGCCGCCATTGGTATGGCACATATGCCATTTTTCAGATGGTGATGATAGTGATCAAAGTGGCCAGACTGAATTTCGGAAAGGGTCTATTCGGCGAGCTGAAGTGCGCTAAATTAGCCCGCCTGACAGGGGTATAAAACTCAACGCGTGCCTGCTGCTTTGCCAACCCCAGTGCGTGGCTGTGAAAAACATTTGCGCCGTATCATCGTCCCCAGACCACATGGCCGCTTGTCCTGTCTGCGAGTTGAAGGAATAAACGCTGCTCGTTTTCCTACAATCTTTTTTCTTGGACTGTTATTGCGTGGAGAGAAAAATAGCAAGTGTTTTGTAGGTTTCGAACGTCAAGGATTAATTCAAAGCGGCAGTTACGGAAAGTAAAAATTGTTTTGCTGCTGTGCGTCGAGAACTTATTCACATCATGTTGCTCATCCTGTCGAAACTGAGTGCAACTCTAGAATTATAATGAGAAAATTAGCGCAAATACAAGGAAGGAAGAACGTTAGGACAGGAAAGAGCGCTTTAATCATCTGGTGGGCTAGTTGGCTAAACATAATGAGAAAATTAGCGCAAATACAAGGAAGGAAGAACGTTAGGACAGGAAAGAGCGCTTTTTCCTGTCCTAACGTTCTTCCTTCCTTGTATTTGCGCTAATTTTCTCATTATGTTTAGCCAACTAGCCCACCAGATGATTTTATTGCAACTCTAGAAGCATCACCAAGCAGGCTGCAATAAGAATTTCAGAACATAAGTTCATGATACTTGTGTAAAAAATAAGTATCGTTAAATATTCACGATGCGTCCCTCGAAGTTGTGTTACATTAAGTTGCAATTTTCAAAAGCTAAACAGCAATACAATTGAAAAAAAAAAAACTAAAATAATTATCGAATCAAATTCGGGTTCTTAGCTCGGTTAATTTATAGCGCCTTCGATCAACTCGCACCGGAATCGATTTGAAAGCTGGACAGTGCACAGCGCACCTCGGGGGTGCAGCGCCGAGTCGTTCCAGCATTGACGACAAACTGCCCTGCGCCACTGGTAGCGCCGCGGCGAGCGCCACCATAAATCACCTCAATCTTTGTGTCTTTTTTTCTTGTTTTTTTCTGCGTTTGTTCGTGCGCGATGGCTGTCTGCTGTCACTTTCTCCTGTTACTCCCACATTTAGCGGTCCCACAAAAATGAACACCGTGAACGTCATTGTCAATGGAGTCACAAAGCGGGTGACAGTTCCACATGCATATTTTGCCCCTCATTGTCGGTTCAAGAAAGAGTACCACCAAATAATAGGCATATATCGGTGTCATTGAAACCCCTCACAAAGGCTTGCCACGAAATTCATAACTTTCGGGTGTTCCTTGCCACCGCAGCAATCGCCGCGGTAATTGCGGTGATGGTAACGTCGTCCTCGCGGTCAGAAGAGCTTAGAAATTCATCGAGTGCCGCTGCGAGGCGTGTTTGTTTTTGCAAGGTCGCCATCTCGATAGACGGCCATCTCCTCGATTCCCGCTCCTAGTCGCAATGCCTGACAGCACTGCACCACAGCGCACCGTCAATTTTGTTGGTGCGCGTTGGGGCAACGAAAAGCCGCACCGGGAGGATGCACTCCTCCATCGAGGACGTCCGGTGCGCAGCGGTGCGATTCATCCAAGAAAACGCGCATCTTGGTGCCCCGGTGCGCACCGTTGCGGATGATCGAGGATGCTATTAGTGGTTTGGGGGCAAATACCAGTATCGAATGAATTTGAGTTTGCTCTTGTCGCTACGATACAACGATTCCATTGCTAATGTTTTCTTTGTCTTGTTCTATTTCAGGAAAGGGTGTTTCCGGATTTCTTTTAAAAAGCCAGTACTCTACACACATGTCAAGACCAGCTTCAAAGGCCATATGATTAATTGTGGAATATCTTAATTATTTCATTTTGCCTCGAGGCGTGACTTACTTGTTAAAATGCATTAAAATAAGTACATTAGAATAAGGGACATCGGAAGGAAACATCCCATGCCTGTCAAAAAGATTAAAAAAAAAAAGAACGAAACCAAACTTAAAATGACTTGATGTTCTTTTCTAGCCAACTCATACAATTAAAATATATTTAAAACTTCAAACTTAGTTTATTATATATTTTTATTACCTTTTCCCCAACATAGTGTTATTTTTCATTATTTTTATTAGAAATACGAGACTAATTATCAGTTGTTTTCATGAACCTGAAACTCCAGAACAATTGTTCACAAAAAAGCAACTCCTTACATATTTAAATACAGATTTAATAATAACTTACTGGAGCACTCTTGGTGAAAGCTATAAACCACGCTGGTTTTTTTTTTTTTTGGTTTTTTTCAAGTAGGGTAAACTATTTGTGTTTTGAATTTAGTGAATGTGCTTGAATTGAAGTTAGTGGTGCTTGAATTGAAGTTAGTGAATGTGCTTGAATTGCCCTAATGCATCACCACATCAAAAGAAAATATGAGCCATTTCCGATAAATATTTATATCTTCTGAAAAAAGTATAAGGATAAGCGATGTCACAAACTTTCCCACGGATATTCAGCTTAACAATGATATACTGATATACTCCCTAACAATAGAGTCAATAAACATCAGTGCCCGGTGCCGGTCAGCCAAAATCATTCTAGCCAAAATCATGTGAATGCCGTACGTTTAAAACGCCTCCGACTGGAGAAATAATCACAATACTGAAGGGGCATGCCTATGCATCGATGCATCCGGCCTGCCGATGGAACCTGAAATAAGGGTTTATAAGGGGGAGGAGGGAGCTCCGAACACTACTTCTAAATACACTACTCAGTCTTGGGTAGTAACGCGTTGCTAGTAACGCGTTACTGTAATTTCGTTACTTTTTTGGTAACTTGTAACTGTAACGAGTTACTTTTTAAAAATGTAACTTGTAATTGTAGTTCTATTACTTTTTTCTGAGGTAACGATGAAAGTAATGACGTTACTTTTGTCGTTACTTCCCAGTGTTTTATGAATAATATATCACTGATCGAGTACAATTTAGATTCTCGTTGCACTTTTAAAATCGTCTATTCCGACATTTCGAGTGTCATGTTGGCCTTGCACAAACTTGTGAATACGTTCTTTCTCACGAGTCACGACCCGAATAAGCCACGTGTACATATCATGAAAAAAAAAAATCTAGTTATATTCACGCACGCGCTTGTACTTTGTGACTGAACACTTACATCTTAGTGTCTTGAAGCACTATTTATTCTGTGTTGTTTTCTTTTTTGTGTGAAAACGCTTTTTAATTGGGTGAATCAACCGTGAAACAACAATACACGCGGAGGGCACTGCACATGTTTCGTATTTTGACTAGCGCCTGAACTCCACACTGCGCATGTTTCGTATTTTGATTTGCGCCACTACTCTGGCGTGGGAATTTTCCAACACTAGTTTTGAGAAGCAACTTCTGCTAAGTTACAATATGAAGTAAAAAGCGTACTGTTTATTTCATGCATGCAATAAAGCTTGGTGAGGGGCGTTTTCTAGTTTTTCCTATTTTTTGGTGTTATAGAAAAGTAACTGAAAAGTAACGTCGTTACTTCTTAAAAGTAACTGTAACTGTAACGAGTTACTCTTTTGTTGCGGTAACTGTAACGGTAACTTCGCTACTTTTTTCTGAAAGTAACTGTAACTGTAACGAATTACTTTTTTAAGAGTAACTTACCCAAAACTGACTCTACTATAGTCGGTGACAGGTTAAAAGTTCAGGGGAAGCTCCTCCCATCTCTCTCCACTATAGCAGAGTGAACGCTGGAAAGGAGGTCGCTTCTTCTCCAACGTTCGCTCTGCTAAAGTGGAAAGAGAAGGGAGGAGCTTCCCCTCAACTCTTAAATCTGTCACTGACTATAGGGAAATACATTCTACTCGGGTCATCTGCATTAGACAGCGCCCCTACAGCACCAAAACCTCTCTTAGCGACGGGGACGACGCGCTTCCAAGACGATGCGTGCGCAATGCGCTTTCTACGCTGTTGCGCTTTCGGGCTGCGCCGAGGGAGAGGGCTGCCGCCGACGCACCGAGACACCGGATTCGTCAAGATGGCAAAAACGGCTGCCTCCAATCTATCGAAGGCTGTCCACGACGATAAACGGCGGCGATCACCCCTCCCAGTTCAAGGGGGAATACCTCAAGGCTGTGCGCGTCCAGCCGTTCCTAGTACGCAAACGCTGTCGGCGCGGAGTAAGATGTATTCCTTAGTAAAGTGCTTGCTTTTTTTTGCTGTCAGCTTTGACTCGTAGTATTCAACTTTTATCCTTCAAAAATATTGACGTACAAAGAGCAAGGTGAAAAGGTAAGTTCAACAACCTGATGTGTGTTTAACTCAGAAGTGAAGCACTCTAATTTTGTCTCCGCCCTTATAACATTTTTTCTTACACAATGATTATTCGATTTAAGTCGCACAACGAGTGTTTTCAATGGAAGTACACAGTGTCGGGTGCTCCTAATATAATGAAAGCGCGGTTTCTATGGCTACAACGTGAGGACGGCAGGGAAGAGCTTCAGTTGTCGCGCTTCCAGCGCGAGTATCCTACCTTCGACAACGCTTCGGCGAGTACTCGAGCACCTCGAGCGCTCTCGCGGAGCCAAAGCACGACGGAAGGCATGGAGCGCGTGCTGGAGTCGGGGTGTTTAAAAAACGCGCCCTGCTGTTCTCATTTTGTGAAAGACTATATCCCGTTCACCCCTAAGCTTAGATAAGAAGCTCCGCCTTCAGCGCGAGCTTTCTGCCTGTGCTAACACAAGCGTGAACGCGCAGGCACGCGCAACCAAGCACTGCGGGAGCCAGCGAGCTCGCGCTATAGGCGGAGCTTCTAGTCTCAGCTTAAGGGTTACCGGAGTATATACCTGTTTCATTCGGGAAAGCTTTCCCTTACAAAAAGTATCAATGAGTTTCAAGTTTCTAATGTATTCTTATAGAATGCATTAGAAATTCAATAGAAACTCATTGATCATTTTTGTGAGGGAGATACGATATAAATCAAGGTAGAAGAATTCATTTAATTTAAATCATGATGTAAATCGCGACTAAAATCATGAGTTATATCGTTTTTTTTCTCCTTTGACACCCTGCTTTTTATTTACTATGCGAGTATCCTTCGACAAAACCATGAAGCCGAAAAAAGAATGCCGGCTTTGCTCAAACTTGTTTTTTATCTAATAGTTTTGCTTCTTTGTAGCAACTTTAGGCGAAGCGCAAGTTCGTCTTCTTGCGCACGGGCTGCAGTGAAGGCAGAACGCTGAGCTCTGACTGGCTCGGATAGAAAGGATAAGGGGTACCTCAATGCTAGCTTCCTTGAGGTTTACCCACCATCCATCCAATCGGAGCCAATCACACCTCGGCGTTCTGACGTCACCGCAACCCTTGCTTAAGAAGCAGACGAACTTGCGCTCCGCATAGTCACTGACGTTGTGAGAACGCCAGGGCGTCTCCTTCAATCACCCGAGCCTCCAGCACGTGCTCTTCGCCTTCCGTCGTACTCTGGCTGCTCTTGCACGCTCGAGGGCGCACGGGACGCCGGAGCGTTGTCGAAGCTCGCGCTGGAGGTGGGACAGCTGAAACTCCTCCCCGTCATTCTCACCTCGTCAATGACACTCGAGCAAGAGACTTAATTAGCATTCGCGTCAAGAACACCTACAGTCGTGGCCACTTTAAGAAACGCAGCATCGGGCTCATTGTGAATATGCTTTTTGTCTTGTTCGTGATTTGTTTGTCGTTGTTCTTATCTTTTAGTGCCACAATTATATTGATTGCGAAGCAATATTAAGATGCTTGGAACTAGCCAGGCCCTGCCTTTCTTAAAGGGACCATGAAATTAATTTTCGGTTGGGTTAAATTGGGATTTGACTAATCGCACATCGTGTAGTGTGCCAAAATAAAACGAGTGCGCGGGAGTAGAAAGCCTAAAGCATGCTTTTTGGTACGAAACTTTGAAAATATAGCGGACAATCTCCTCTCCTTCGAAAGTTCTCCGCTTGTTCACTGCGATGCATCCGAGGCGTCCAATCCCGTAAGCCGAACCCAGCTCACGCATTGGACACCAGTACTGCGTTACTCGGATGTATGCGCTCGTCAATAATTAATCTGTCGACGAATATTCGCATTCGTGGCAAGTGATGCCGTAGCGGCACTTATCAGCACTTGAGAATAACAAGTTACATGACGCGCTTAAAAAGCACGGTGGAAGCCAAGAGTCATCCCCTCCGGTGCCCAAGCGCGTCACACGACCACGTGATTTCTCATTTCGCTTTTGAGTGGAGGGCTGAAGCAAAAGAGGAAGAAGTTGACAAATCATTCCACGGTTCTCTTAAGCCGTCACTGACTGTTAGTGGCGAGATGTTTTGGAGAAGCTCTCGCATGATTCCCCCTTGTAATGTCATTACCTCGCAAACAAGTTCGATAGTGTTTGTAAATGAGCATTGTGGAAGCTTTAAATCATGGCGTTCTGAAACCGACACCGCCAACACTTTCAAAAATTGAAGATCTTCCATTCATCTTATTTCCGTCGATGAGACGTCCTTTGCTGACGTCATAGTCAGCATTCGGCCAATCGTGGAAGACCGACCACAGCGACACTTTTGATCGCGCACGTCGCGTGCATGCTTCACACACGCAGACAGACAGTTTTTGTACAACGAATGTGACACGAGAGAACACGTCCCAGACCGTGTCTGCAGACTGTCTTCTGTTCTATGTATTTCCAGTCTGATTAAGACTTTAAAGAGGAACTTTAGGGGAATTCGTCTTCTTTGTGCCTATGGGTCAATCACGCTCAAAGCGTCCGGGAAAAACAAATCAATTACGATTATACAATTTTTCAACGCTACTGAAGATGACTACCCGCATAAAAAAAAGACTGCGCCGCGATCTTCGATCACGCTTTAAAAGTAGAATAGGCCAACC